CTATAAAGGGAGAAAGGAGGAGGCCAGAGTAGAAAGATTTAGTAATGCCGAGAATATGGAGCCACATGATAAAGACGAGAGCAAAAAGTGGTGCGATGAGGTGAATTTCTGTACGGTTATCAGATGGAATTTGAATGGAGGCTTCTCGTTAAAGTTTATTTCACGACCTTAAATATTCTTACTTATGATTACTACCGGTATATTGTTTTGTTGACGGAGTATTGTTTCGAGAAACTAACATCCAAAATGTTGATAGATTTGTACTAATGCATTTCATAGAAGAAAATAATATTTAATTGTATACAAGGTGATTGTACTGTTATTTTGATTTTAGATACACCTAAATCTTGTCTTACTGTATTATCTTATATCCGTGAATATGTTACTTTGGCTTAAGTTTATTAACACTTAATTATAAGTTTTATTAACATCTTACATCAAAATGATATATATCTAGCATGTCTGTATACTCCACAGGTCGAGGAAACAATTTTCTGTGACATAAGAATAAATTTACATGCTATATGAGGCACTAACGTGACGATCAAACCGACTAATTAGCTGCATGTGTTGCATTATGGGTTACTGAACATTTTCAGAATCTCAGACCAGACATCGCACGATGGACAGCGGACTGCAAACAAACGACAACTTACGGGGAACTAATAGAGTTACGTTTTAACATAATTACCAGAGATTTTTTTCATTATCTATGACATCTATTCAAACGATGAAATTTAAAATAATTAATAATTAGGAAGAGATTGATGTGTAGATGTGATATTTAGATCTTGGCACATTTTACATTACTTGATTATAATTAAATACTCAAATGTATCTTTTCATCACATGCAATAATAGCAGATAAAGGGGGTTACAGAATGGACCCCTGCCTTTGAATTTGGAAGAAATATTTAAAAAAAAAATAGAATTTTGTTTGTTTTTTTTTTAAATGAGGCGAAAAAGAGAGTTGTGACTGAAAACATGTTTAGAAATTTAAAGATGTACATTGAAGAAAACAATTATGAATTCAATTAAGTCGTTCAATATTTTCGCTGCAGTGAGAAATTTGAATGATTTTTTGGGGTTAATTTCAACACTTTATAGGTCTACATCAGTTTGATAAATTTTAAGATGATATTGACCGAAAGTGGATATGGTTGTTATGTGTTCGGACAGGGAGATAAAATATTGAAGTTTTGTGGGAGTCCCAGGAATTCTGTGAATTAATGTTATCCTAGCATTAATTAGACTTTGTTTTACAAACCTCTTGATATTACTTATTAAAGGTTTTTTGAACTTTGAGAACCTTTAATAGAAGTTTTCACGGTTCGTTGCACCACTGTTATGGCGTTTGTATGTGACCAGTAAGTACTACATTGTATGTATTCTATATCATGTCTGGGCGATTTCCAAATACGAAAGCCAAAAACGATAACTGATATTTGCTCTAAATATACATATACATGTAACTATTTTATATTCAATCAAATAGCAGTATTTTTAAACACCCCAAAACAAATTTCAAAGATACAAGAAGAAAACACGTGTTTTTGTTGTTTTTTTTTCTTCACAAAAGATTGTTATGACAAAAACGCTTTAAAAGTTAGATTACAAATTTGAAAGAATAAGGTCATCCCCACATATTTATCGTAAACAAAATTTACATGGCTCATTAATGAACATACATGTATGTGAATCATCAAAATTAGGTAATATCATTACATTGAATAAAGTTCAACTCCATATTACACAGATAAAAGGTCTCCATGCATTTATTCCAAAGATCGTGTATAGAGGGGGGTTGTAATGGCGTCTTCCTTATAATTCGAGGTTGTTTTTCCGATCATCGGAAAGGCCCTGATCTAGTTTCAACAAATTCATTCAACAATATATCGAATATCAAGGTCGGTAAATAAAATGAATACTGTTACATTTGGCGGTGTATTCTTCCTAGCGTCATTGGCGGAATAAAACTTCCGCTAATTCAAGTACAACGCTAAATGTCTTAAACATAAATACATTAATAAGAACATTAATAAATGCGCTAAATTAAATCTACGCTAACTTGTTCAAAAATCAATTTCAGCCAAATATTGTACACGCTAAATATAATACATTTACAGTACTTTTCCGAGTTTAGTGACATAAATCTCCTTATTTCAAGGACCATTTTCAACAAGATTTTTTATTCCAGTATAAGTCCAACGTGCTTGTCTAAAACAAACGATATTCCAATTTATATTGAAAATGAAAATTACAAAGGTATCAGCATCAGAAGCAGTTTTACAGTAATCCTTTACGAAATAATAATGAAACGAAACATTTCAGAAAATATCATTACTGATTGTTGTTTCATTTACTATGAAAGGCTGTTTGATACAATCAACCGAGAAACATTATGACGGTTTCAGCTTTCATTGGATTAAAAATATTGTTTTATCATTTATTAATTTGTTTGTAACATAAATGATTATTTTTAATGAACGTTAAATTAAAAAAAATCAGTTGTCTATTTCATTGCATTATGAGTGAAATTGCGGAGAGAAAATGTTTTCGGTAGGTTCTTGGAGAAGACCACTTCGTTACTGATATAGACATTGGTGAGCTTTTTCAGGCAATACACATTATTTAGACTGCGTTAGACTACACATCGAAATGGTCTGAATATATTTTAGATTATACATAGAAATATTTAGTTCTCTACCGTGAAATGAAGCTAGTTGTAACTAGTGTTGTATTCCAGTTACTAGTACTAATTCCAGTAAAAAACCAAACTAAATACATATACATGTGTTGTGTTTTTGTTTGAAGTTTGAGAACATAATGTCATATTTCCATTCTTTTTTTTATAAATTTAATATTCCTCTATGATAAAAAAATTGTTTCAAAAGAAGATTATGAGCATTGAAAAAAAAATAATGTTGCTTAGCTAGGTTCAGAACTCCCATACACGTACCTACCTTAATTAGCTTAAGTAAAAGTTCAGAAGAAAAACTATGACGTTGTGTTAAAACAAGGCTAATTTAATAAATCTCGATGATTAAATGCAAATTTTACATTTTATAAGCACAAAGATTCCATATCTCTCATAAATAAGATAGAGCTGAATCCATGTGCAACTTATCTTGCCACGAAAACACTTCACTGTATTCGAGTGTAGAATGAAATCCAGAATAATCTCGTTGTACTGACTGAGATCACGTCAACGACGAAGTCGACTTGCAGCTTTTCTGTATATAAGGCTAATTAGATTAAACTCTTTTCATATGTGGTAAAAATGACAATAATAAGTAGAACTGTCCAAACAGGACAAAATATCCCCCGTTGCGTTTTTCAGAAGTAAGTTTTTCCATAATAAATATATGTATCACACATGAATTATGAAATTTTTCTTCCAGCGACCTTGAAGTTCCCCAAATAACCTTGGGTCAAGGTCTTGACACACCCATGGGTCATGGACAATCTTTGTGTGAAATGAGAACCTACCAAGTTTATCCATCAGAAGGATATGGACCGGACATGAAATATGAAATTTTGCTTCCAGTGACCTTGAACTTCCCCAAATGACCTTGAGATAAGGTCATGACACATCCTTGGGTAATGGGCAATCTTTGCTTGAAATGAGAACCTACCAAGTTTATAGATAAAAAAAGATGTGAACTGGACACGAATTATGAAATTTTTCTTCCAGTGACCTTGAACTTCCCCAAATGATCTTGGGTCAAGGTCATTACACAACTTTGGCTCATGGGCAATCTTTGTATGGAGTAGTCGATTCTAATGTTCCTCCGTAAAAAGGATATGGACCGGACACGTTTGCACAGACAGACGGACAGCTAGACAGAGCTAGACAGACAGGCGGACAAGGTGATTCCTATATACCCCCTAAATGTCGTTAGCGGGGGGTATAATAAGTGATACTCTATATCTTTTAGTTCAATGAAATTTTAAATGTATACACCATATGAATGTTTAAAACTGTAGTGAGACGAACTTTTACAGGCCGTGGCTCACTGTCGCGATTTATACTACGATTGCCCATGACTTAGAAAAAGTTGAAAATCGACCTTCATCGCCAGATTTTTACCTAGCATGTGGAATATTTTGCTGCTAAAGCTGCATGTCTACGATGTTTGTGCGACAAATAACGCGGTGTGTACGATTTTATTAAGTCCAAACTGAGGAGACAGCGTTATGAACTGATTACGATATTTCTACGATTATGAAGGATTAAATGCGATTACATACGATACTAGTAAGAAGGACTACAATATACCACATTACAAAGTATGCCTAAATCGAATAAAGTTTTTGTTCACTCGCACAGTACTCGTACAACACTTGCCCAACCGTTCCTTTTCGTAATATATTCGCGGGAAAATCGAACTTTGATCCTTTATATCGCTACGTAGAACAGTCGCAGTTACTCAAAGGACAATCGCAATTACTCGAGAGACACGAACTCGAAGGACACTCGGAGTAACTCGTAAGACTCGAGAAGTGTCGCAAGTACTGCGAAGTACCGCGAATGTCACACGAACTTCGAAGATTTCAACGAATAAGTGTACTAGTGCAGTGCGGGTGTTGTGCAATTGTCTTCGAAAAATGAAAAATCGTGCTGTGTCCACGATTGTTTTGAATATGCTCAAAACAATCGCCGAGTTTGGCGATTTGCTGCGATACAACACGATTAAGGAAGATATCCTACGACTACCTCTGCGAAATATCTCGATTTGCCGCGATTTTTGAATTTGTGATGAATTGTAGCTATCATGAATCTTAACAGTGTGACAGGAGCTTAAAGTTAACTTCCAAATTTACATCAAAAGCCCTAGGAAATCTCAACCGTTCATCTATATCCGCTTAAAATTTTGACCTTTTAAAGGACACTTGAAGCAGTTATTCTTAGAATCCTAGAACTTTGTCAATAGCAGTTTTGCGGTGTTGCTTTGAATTCATTCCATAACTTTTGCGAATCACTAGGAAAACCTCAATAATCTTATCCTCACACCACTCATCTCAACAAAAAGGAAAAATGGTATGTGAGGATTTTGATGTATTGTTTGTCCATGCAAATCATGAACAGGACCTTATAACTCAAAAAAGAATTCTTTTAAACCACATGAAAAATATATGAACAATTCTATTATCATAATCAATTTTATTATATCAAAGCACTAACTAACTTTATAAATGAATCTCATTACATGTTATAAAACTATTTTAATATAATAAATCATAATTTATAAACATTCTCTGCTATACAAAAACACCAGAGTATTAATATTAGAGATAAGTAAAACAAAGCATTTGACATTTGATTGATTGATTGATTGTTTTACGTTCCTCTCGAGAAATTTTCACTCATATGGAGATGCCTCGATTTGCAGATGGAGAACTGCAATTTCTTTTCCTATACTTAGCTTTTTATGCCATTGAGCAGGGAAGGATCTATTTTGTGTTAGAACTTACTGCTACACGGGACCTCGGTTTATGTGGTCTCATCCGAAAGACCGGTCTTTACGTCCCACAGTTGTATTTGAATCCGCAACCTTAGGATTGACTCCTTACTGCGCACCCCTAGAGCAACTCTAACCGATAGCCACACCGGCTACCATTTGATATTTGAACATTCAAGCGAATCACAAGCAGAATTGCAATAATGAACAATACTAACAACTGGAGACTGAATATCTCTATCAGTTTATTTTGTACGTGTGTAAAGTGAGTACGTTTTAAATTAAAATTAACCATTTCCAAATCTTCTGATAAGATTATAGCAATTTAAATAATGGCTGTTGGATTCCGAATAGAAATTTCAAAACTAGAAAACCACTTGCGAGAACCACGTACAAAGTGTTTTCTGCAGCTCTCCGTGTAAGCCGTGCAATTTTCCATATAGAATTTTGTGTGCAAGGTAAAGGTTATTGTACAAATCACGTGCAAAGTGTGTAATTTGCACTCTCTACTACCAAGAGATCTGTTCATTTCCGATGTGTATAAAACAAATTACTGTGGAAAAATTTTGATTCGTGGGGGTCAATGTTCGTGGGTGGGCAAAATTTTGTTGGTTCGTGGTAAAGTAATTTCGTGGGTAACTCACATATTCAGAAGATTTAATAAATAAATTTGTTGTTGTTATAAAATAAAAGTTGGGATGTAAATTTTTGGATAAGGGTGACCCACGAAATCCACGAACATAAGTCCCCAATTAACATTGATGATTCCACAATATTAAGATTCTATGATAAACAAACGTGTCATTAATTGCATCAAAAGCTTCTTTTCTAAAGGCTCCTTCACGATACTGTTAAAAAATTCTGTCATCTATTATTTGCGGGAATTTTTTTGTTGTTTATTTTTTAGGGGGTGGGGGTGGATATTGGGGACATGAGGGATTTGAAACAACACCATTCAAATGATATAAATATATCTACTTAAAAAACCTGGTATATTTGTAGTTTTTGGATGCATGTGATAGATAGTGAAAATCAATTACTTTCAGCATATTCAGATGTAACTATAATGTTCTTTGTGTTGTATGATCCCAGCTGATTGTACGTATCTATTTCCTGATTATCAAAGCATGCATGGTCGTAGTCTGATGCAATATTTGGCACACAGTTGTCTTCATTAAGATGGTTATAAATTTCGCTTTGAATAATATTTTCCTGGTCGCAGGATAGGTTATCAAAGGATACTGCGCCGGGTACCTATATCATATATAAAATATTTATCTCCTTAAATCATCAAAACACGTCAATCAGGAATAGAGGTGTTCAGTATCTTACACTATTGCAAGCAATAATTTGAATTTTATACAAACCTTAAACGTGTGTTTTCCTTTTTCTTTAGTGTTTTCACCAGTATTTCTAGAGTCTTCATACGCTTGTCTAAATGAAGAATACAGTAAAACATAATCTAATAGTATAGCTGTGTAAATTTTTTTTTCAGAATACTGCACATGAGACCTTATCAGAAAGACACAATGCAATTTTCTTGTGTTTATTTGAACGAATTACAAATAACCTTACTAGACAAAGTGAGGTACCTGTTATGGACTGCCTTTTTCTTACACCAAAGAAGAATAAGGTATAGCATTCCACATGCAAGAACACCAAAAGTAATTCCTCCTATTCCAATTCCAAATAATAAGCTGATGTCCTCATTGTTTTTCTCTAAAATTTAGATAAGTGTTATTGTAAATAATATACAATTATAAACTGTTTCGGAGGGAGACTTTCAAAATATGTCAACACCTATCCCGTATATGTAGCAGTTGTACATGTTTATTACAGTACTAATAATAGTTATCTCGCTTCGACATCTGAATTTTAATTAAAATGACGACAACAGTTGTTACCCTGCGCGTGAGGGAGACATCACGAATTAACTCACCTCTTGAGACATGCTCTAAACTAATCGGATTAATTGTACAATTCTGAAGGATACATGTAATAACGTTTGTAGTTAATTAGAATATAGGATTAATATTCAATGACAAGATGCAAATAAAGAACAGTGGTCGAAAACATAAACTTATGTTCCCACTTATGTAACTGATGCTCACTCTCCCATGGCACCTGATTCAATTTTGTTTATATAATGTTCAATTTGACCTTCGAGCATGGTTACTGTACCTTCATCAACAACCACGTGTAAAGTACCAAAATAAAAGATTCAAATGGGATAATTCGCCAAGAGATTTACCGTTTTTGATAGAGGAACTCACTTCTGGCACCATTGTACGGGAACATATTTTCCTGCGTTGCTCATTTATTTCACAGATATCTTCTAATGAAAGGTTACCTGTGACAAATAAATAATAAAAGTTTGTTGAATAGAAGAGTAACACACACGTGTTTATCTAAAATTAGATTAAAGCGCAACTGCATGCCCTCATTTTATTTTTCAATTTTAAAGTAATTTAATATATGTTCTAATTTAAATATACGAAATAAAATCATCCAGATTACCCTGAAAACACATATTGTACATCATTATGTAGCCTTCTTCACATTCACAGACTCCACTTGTTGCATTACAGGACGAATGAGGGGTTCCTTGTTTACACTGTGATGAGTCAGAACAGGACTCCCCAATTCGTCTTTCTTAATAAGTAAAATATACCTTATTGTTACGTTTAAATTAAAAAAAAAATATCGAAAGAAATTTAAAAGATATTACATGTTAATACATTAATGTATACATGAAAGTTGATTTATGTTTTTTACAAAAAAAAAATATTATTATGATATTAAAATGTGTAATTCATAAATTATACATTTATGAATATGTTAGAACTGATTTTAATTTAAATGCGTGTATGAATTTTTGATTCAGTCCAAGATGGATACTTTAAAATGAAATATTATGATTCAATAAAATAATTTAAAAGACAAAATAATTAAATAAATTAAAACAAATTACTTGAAATAAAATAAACAATAAGTAAAACTTATATGAAGATCCACCCGCTGTACTATTTATACACCTGTAATAAGCTATCTGAATAGAATCCAACTTTCTTTTATGATCCCTTTTGTCAAGACATTTAAATCCAAATTCTGGACATGATACAAAGACATTACTTAGCTTGATTTCAGACTGTGTAGACATTAGATTTTTTTTCTAAAGATATAACTTCCATTGTGAACTGGCTACATATTTACTTCTTATTAAAAATATACTTCAAATCTGATTTATTTCAAATTAATGAACTAATGATTGATTGATTATATGTTGTTTAACGTCCCTCTCGAGAATTTTTCACTCATATGGAGACGCCATCACTTGCCAGTGGAGGGCTACAAATTCTGTCCTATACTCGGCAGTCAGGGCCTTTGAGCAGTGAGGGATCTTTTTTCGTGCCAGCACCTACTGCGACACGGGGCCTCGGTTTATACGGTCTCATCTGAAGAACCGGTCTCCACGTACAACAGTGGGATTCGAACCCGCGACGTAAGGATTGACTCCTTACTTGGCGACTCTAGAGCAGACGCTCTAACCAGTGCGCCACGCGGGCGACAATGAACCAATGAAAACGTGTACAAGAGTAGAGAATGAATGGCAGTACATGTGTATTATTACAGAATATAGCTTATGCAAACGCAATTTTTTTTAAATCACATGGTTTTTCGCACAAATTAAGGTACACTGTGTAACGTTTCGAGTTTAATGAATATTGATTTTATTATCAATAAATTGATTTGCTGTCACCAATAGTAACGTGTAATATTATTTCCACCTGGTACCTATGAGGCACGTTACAATAATTGGATTCCAAGGTACCTAGATTTGATAAAGAAAAGAAGTGTATAAAAACAATTAATACATGTGTTTATTATAGCATCAACAGCATCAAAGACAATAAATATATTTTTATAGATATTTTCAAAAAGTCTCTTTAATAGAATATTCGGCAGAACTTCCACGGAGCTCGGTGCTGCTCGGGGCTCCTCGTTGTTCGGTGCTACTCGGGGTTCCTCGGATCGGTGTTCATGGCTACTCGGTTCTCGGTGCTACAAGCTTACAAGGTTTCCGGTGCTACTAGGTGTTCTGTACTTCTTTGTTTCCGGAGCTACAAGATGTTCAGTGCTTTCCATTGCTGCTACTATGGATAACTATACAGGCACAATCAGGGACTCTTGACACAATCAGAACTATATCTAAAATCCACAATCTACTTCTTAATAACAAAAAGTCCACCCCCTTCCTATGGTAGCATATCATGCGTAGATAGGAGAGTTCTTGTACTAAAGCCAACCATTGTTAATTATAGTCTATGCAACTTAGAAAAGTCAAACATATACTAATCTGTGCTCGGTACTACTCGGTGCGACCAAGTGCACGGTGCCCCGGTGCTCGGTGTCGTCGGTGCCAAAAATAAACTTTAACTAAATGAAATCTCAATAAAATGGAATTGATTATTCTTAATTCATAATCACAAGTTTACACAGTCAATAATACTAAAATGAATTATAATAATTTAAGAACAAACTTTGGTTGAGATCTCGCACCGAGTAGTCAATGTCTAAATACTTTAAAGACAATAAAATTCTACTATAACTATTGTCTAAAGAATTCATATTTTGCTACAATTCCTAAATAGACTAAGAAATTTCAAAACTAATTTTCTAACCTGTCTAAAATATTAATTTACCTTATTCTTTCCTGGCACCGACTTGCACCGACTTCTCTGCCCTATCACTATTTTTCTAGAGAAGATCTGACAACGCCGCTAGGAGTTTGCTGCTTTTATACCGTTACGCAGTGCTGCAGTGACTACGTCATATGTGAAATGTAGAACTTCAAGAACAACACTTTAATCAATGTACTTGAACTACTTTATTAACTAATAAAACATCTATAAAACTCGTTAATTATAATATATTCTACCACGGTTATTGAAAACTTCAAAGGAAGCCGCCGGACATTATTCTCCAATAAATCACGAACGTCATCAAAAAATTATCAGATCAGAAACACGTATCAAATCTGAACAATTCAAATGCATGTTTGGCTGTAGAATGAAATACTTGTTTAGACCGCATCGATGTGTCGTCTTTTGCAGTAAAAACACTGTAAATTGCATCAAGTTGCTGATGAATGTCGATTTTTATAGCTAAGCGGGGCTATTCCACGGACCTCCCTACACATTAAACAACGTGATTTTAGCAGTAAAACAAGAACATGATTTTGTTTTTGTATATTCATTTTAACTGATCAATATATATAACGAACAAATTTGTAATTAAACAAGACTATTTTTAATGCAACGAAAGCTCAAATCGTCTGCATTCCATATATAGGTAAGTCAACAAAATTTCTCTCTGGTGTTAAATAGAACAGCGTAATCGAGACATGGTGACCTAATTCGTTTCTCTATAGAGGAAACAATCAGCCGTATTTATCGCCCTTGGTAGAATAGAAATAAAGTCCGCGTTTTCGTGAATGATGCAGAATAACCTCCTCGGTCTCGAAATGTTGTTTGAAATATAAAAGCCTCGGCTAACGCCTCGTATTTTATCTTTAAAACAACATTTCTCGACCTCGGAGGTTATTCTGCAACATTCACGAAAACGCGGACTTTATTTCTTAAATATATTATAATATAATTTTTAGTCTAATCCAGAGGTCTTATTTATAAAGTTCTGTATAGAAAGTGGACAGGTATGTCGGTGTAGGTAGCAACTTATCCGGAGATCCGTATTTCATACCATATCCGTTCTACAATTAGTGTCTAAAAGCCATTTCCAGTAAGCATCCAATAAAATAAGTAAACGGTAATAATTCACAAGAGAATAAAAACAGATTTGATAATTCTAAGGACACTCTTAAAGTTCAGTATCTCGTAATTAATTAGCATAACTACGGACAATCGCCATACAAAGTATCATTCAAGTTCTCTGTAGAGAAATTGACTATAAAATATTCATGCAGGCACAACTATGGAACGCTGGGACTGTCTTATATGAGGATTTAATATTATATGCAGTGTTTCCTTCATTATATGCGGTACTATTTTTATTATATGAAGTAGTTTTTACTTTATATCGTGTACAACCTCCATTATATGCAGTACTTCTCTCATTATATGATGTAGATATGTCATTATATTATGTACATCTATCATTATATGAAGTGCTTTTAACATTATATGCGGTAGTTCTATTATTATATGCGGTAGTTCAAACATTATATGCGGTAGTTCTAACATTATATGCAGTAAACACAACAATATATTATGTACTTCTCACATTATATACAGTACATTTATCATTTTGTGTAGTATTTCTGTTATAATGATGATGCTGATCGTTAAATATTATGTCCGGTCCAGTTAGCATTCCGTGCGGTAGATTTTGCATTTCGTTATGATGTAGACGCAGTATTATATGCGGTGCTTTCTTCTTTATGATGATGATCTTTCGGAAGCTACCCTTCGGAATCCCCATTGTTATATTTAGAAAGTTTTACCTTTTTCGTTCTTAGATATGATTCATGATTTTAGATTATTTTTTCATTTATTTAGTTAAAATTTGACAAAAACCACATGTGGCGCAAGTGAACAGATATAATAATTTAGTCACATGGATTTTCTTATTGTAGTGTTACATGAAAATGAGTTGTTTCCCTTTGTTAGCTTTCCGGATTGAATCCGTTATCTGTTTGTTTTTTACATACTATTTCCGTTTGTGTTTTGTGTACGGCATGGCGCCCTCATCAAATCTGCAAGCCTTATGTCATGTTTGGCTGTTTTAGTCCGGCATAGAGTAAGTTTTTCTTGTTTATTATGTGTCTTAGTGATTTATTATAAACCTTGTGCAAGATGAAGATGTATGCATTTGTAGTATGTGTAGAATTTTATGAAACATGATTCTGTACTTTTGTCTAAATTTAGAAACGGTAGCTAATGTCAAGGTGGTTCCATGTTCGTTCGCCCAAAAAATTGTTCGCCCGATACCCCGTTCGCCCGATTTTTTGTTCGCCCAGAGTTCGTTCGCCCAATTTTTCGTTCGCACAGGGTCCGTTCGCCCAGATTTGATGTAGAATATCATAAAATGATTTTTTTTTTACATTTTTGGTACATTCGAAATAATACTGACTGATTGTGCATATGTCACATCGGGTCATACTAAATACACGCTCTATCAAAGACTTGACAGGCCTGTTTGGAAATGTTGCCAGAATGGTATGTATAATTTGTATAAGTATAAGATAAACTTTATGAGTTTTCTGAGTATTTTTTATTATTTACAAGTTAAAATAAATGCACTATTCCTTTATCAAAGCAACTTTATCATTACTCATTTCTATATTATATATCTTTGATTATCTCCCTTCACCTATGCTCTTTCATTAGTGCAAGCCCTCCAGAAATAAACGAACTTAATTATAAACCATGAGGATTTATCATATATCTCTAATCCATACAGGTACTATACTTTAATCAATATTACTATACTAAATCTTCATTTCTCAGTTCATATTCCTCATTTCATTATGGATGTTTTATTATGCAAAGAAAAACAAGCTATAAAGTTTTTAATGCCATTTATTTTATTTCTCATCATAAATATGAAAATCATAAATATGAACAAGCACTACAAATAAATATGAACATCACAAATATGAACAAGCACTACAAATTAACATTTTCTGAAGCACTACTATATTTAACATTAAGCACTACTTATAAAGCAGTTATAAAACAGTTAATAACACAGTACACAACAGTTGCAGTTCATTCACAACCATCCTGGAAAAAAAAGCGATATAAATGAAATGTTCAATTTTAAATTTTAATTACTTTTATATATTTATTATTTCATTTTCTTTTTCATTTCTGTTTAATTGCTGCAATACATTTTCATACATTATCAAAAATTATAAATTATAAATTATAAATTATAAAAATCATAAATTAATAAAAAAGTTACCTTCGACGTCGTTATTGGTCCGGATGGTGCGTTGAAAAATGGACCAGTCCTGCACCCGGAACACCCGGTGATGGAACCACTGACGATCGATGTAGTTGACAAGGTCCTCTAGTTGGGGTGTGTTGGCTCTGTCTCTAAGGTGCGGGAAGGTGGCAATGATGTGCTGGGCAGGTAGAAAGGGTAGCGCAAGTAGTTGGCGGATGTACTTGTGGACTGCTTCCTGCTCCCTGTACGCCCTCACCAAACCACAGGACTGCACATGCCTCCAGACTGCTTGGGTCCAGTGGAACACACACCCCTTGATAGCAACTGCAGGAAAGACACGGCGGATGGCTAACCAGGCACCTGAATTAGAAATAAATATAATAAATATAACTGTGATACTAAAAGTACATTTATAATTTATAATCATACAAATAATCATACAAAATTTCTTATCTTAACAAACATGTTACCAAATATTTTTCCTCATTAAACCAATTTATATAAAATATTAAAACAATCCTCAATATAAATAATGAATTGACCTACCAACTTCAAAATCCACCATGAACTCTTCAACACTCGTCTCCTGGATGGCATCCACAATGGCCTGTAATACTGCAACGTAGTCTTCCTCCGTCTTATGGGACATGAGAGCAAACGCTAGGGGAAGCTACTTCCGCTGTCCATCTTGCACAATGAAGGCGTGGATGCTGAGTAACTGCCCAGATGCCTTGAAAGGATCTCGGACAACCTATAAAAGAAACATAGTTATAAATGATTCAATATTTTTACTTAACTAAACCTGTAAAAGAAACAAAGTAATGAATAATTCAATATTTTGACTCAAATATTTCCTTAAATTAAATTATATATATAGAAATATATCTTCATCATTTAATCATAGTTATTCTTGGTAACTTTTGATTTTAATATATATATATATTATGTATACAAGATATTTGATAATCCATACCTTAAATGTGCCATCCATAAACCAGCGTTTGGCATGTTTCAGGAGGTTCCTCTGGAATGGCGTGGAGAAAACCAGATGTCTATGGGCACCAACTCTGAGGTCTGCTAGTAGGAAATCATCGCATCTCAGGAAGTCTACATCCAACTGAAAGTTAAAAAAATATGTAATAAAAAATACAATATCTAATAAATCAATTCAATGAGGAATATTGAGATGACGGATCTTCATTTCAAACAAACTATATCTTTCAAATTTTTGTTATAAATTATAAAGTTATGTCCAATTATGAAGCATTATGTAAACCACATAATAGATATATTAATAAGTCTACTATTTTTTCCTAGATTACCTCAAAGTCCAGGTCAGATGGTTCTTGTGGGGTGTTTGCAGATCGGAACTTGTTGGCAGTTCTTTTCAGGAGGCTCTGCTTAGGCGCAAGGAAGCGATGTTCATCTGGGATGGTGCTGGTCACAACATCAGACACAACACCCATGGCTGTAGAGTGCGGCTGGTTACGGATCTGCTCCTTCACCTGTGCAAAATTAATAATGTATTTAATACTTTTGAAATGAGCACAATAAATATTGTAAATAATAAGCACAGTAAATATGTAAAAATTGTATAATGTAAGGCTATCTAAATTTAATTCCCTGGTTCTCAGGCCAATTTTCTCCAAAACAGATGCGGGAGGGCGGCATTTTATTTTTCATTTTATTGGCAATGAAGTAGATGAGGAAGGTATTTTTTTTAATTTTAATTTCCGAATTTTCTTTAACATAAAGATAATTTTTTTAATCACAGATATACTTTCCATTTCTGGTCAAAATTTTTTCTTTATCCATTGGTTAACAGCGTGTAAACATCGTAGGTAATGTCCTCGAATGTATTTTCAAACGAAGTAGCCAAAATCTCATTGTAAATGGCTACCGGAAGTGGTATTTGAATACTAAACTACGAAACAAATGAGGTCGGAATTTTTTTTCCCTTAATATCTTGTTCCCGGATTGGTCTCCGCAATACCAACTTTTTATTTTATCAAAAATACAATAAAATCGGCAATGCGGCTACCTCAAAACGGATGCGCGCGGGCCTGAGAACCAAGATTTCAATTTTATATAGCCTAATGAACACTTTGTAAATGAAGCACAATAAATATTAAAAAATGAATAACAAAAAATATTTCTTTGTAATTCTTTGACATTTTGTTAATTTTTAAATGAATAGACAAAAAATACCTTTGCAGCTACTTCTTTGTAGATGGGCAGTTTGGGATCTGCTGGGTGGCAGTGGGGATGAACTCCGGCCCTGAACTGGTCCCCTTTCTGGCTAACTGTGGCATGACATCTGACTTTTGATGATCTGACGCTGCATGTCCAGAGAGTTGATGACTTGTTGACATGCTGAATGAAAACAATCATAAAATTAATGATATACATTTCATTGAATTATATGCCATTTATTAATGGGTCCTAGATAGTTAAATATTGATTTGATTTTTGAATATTTATGTATGAAAGTATTGGTATTGTAATGGTTAGGGCCGTGGATATCGGCCTGGATAGCTCAGTTGGTAGAGCACCTGACTAGAGATACAGGGGTCCCGGGTTCGATTCCCGGTCCAGCCATGCATTTTCTCCTTTCCTGTTACAGATTTGGTGCCGTGACCAGGATGAGCCTGGGTTGGGGTCTTTGGAGGGCCAAAGACCTTTAAGGAGGGAGGAATGTAATGGTTAGGGCCGTGGATATCGGCCTGGATAGCTCAGTTGGTAGAGCACCTGACTAGAGATACAGGGGTCCCGGGTTCGATTCCCGGTCCAGCCATGCATTTTCTCCTTTCCTGTTACAGTATAATTAACTTATAAGTAATGGTATAAAGTATTGTTTTAATTTACTTATAAAAGTTTCACAATTCAATACCTTTACTCCAAAAGTAAACCCATTGCTGGCAACCAACAGCCGACCACCACGTTTGCTGCCTTTCTCGAGGACTTTGTAGTGGATAACACCATCGTCTGGTAGGATGTCGTCTGGCAAATCAGGCTCTGCATTCAGGGACCTAAAAAATTATGCATATTTGATTGTTTGTTGATGAATGTATAATTTTTAATTATGATAAAGCTTGACCTTCTTTTCATTTACACACAATCTCTCCTTTCTTTTTTTTTATAATTGACTCAACCTTGGAACTTAACATTAATCATATAATAGTATGAGACCTTAAATCATGGAATAAAAATTACTAATTTGAAAGAAGAATCTTACGTGTCCATGGGTTCTGGGTGGATGGATGCCCGCCGATGACCAACATCAAAGGATCCATCAAGTGGGTCGGCTGGCTGGACTGGAGGGTCAACATCAGCTGGTGGGTCAGCTGGCTGGACTGGAGGGTCAACATCAGCTGGTGGGTCGGCTGGCTGGACTGGAGGGTCAACATCAGCTGGTGGGTCGGCTGGCTGGACTGGAGGGTCAACATCAGCTGGTGGGTCGGCTGGCTGGACTGGAGGGTCAACATCAGCTGGTGGGTCGGCTGGCCAATACCTCGCCTCACATGGTCCACAGAACCAGTGGAGCTCCTCCCTACCATGTTTTACATCGTTGTACCGTTGTAGTGATATCCCTGGAAAATTTTAAAGTTTGCATTTTTTTTGTTCGAAACAAATATACTAGAATTGCTTACCACTCTTTGATTTATCTACTCTGTTAATTATCCATATTCCAATTACAATTACAGATACTGACTCAAATGAAATGTACATATACTAATAATATTACTATATCATTTTATCATTTATATATTTACATGCCCTGTTCAATAGAAGCTAGATAAGATGTAAATACACAAAAAAACTATGACTTTGATATTTTTCATCCTTAACAACAATATCCAGGCATATCTATGACATGTATGTGTAAAAGACTAATATTACAATATCATGTTATCATCTATGAATTTGCCAACAAAATTAAAGTTTCCTCAATATATTCATATTTTACAATATGTATTTAAATTACACATGATAGCAATTGCCTCAACTTATGAACCAAGTGAAAATTGAAATTATAAATGTACTAAGACTATGCTGAATAATATTATTTCATCACATTTAATTAAATGCTCTGTTTAATAATCAGCAAGCAAGTCCATTTATTGGACTCACACCAAAACCAGCATCAGTACATCAGTATGATACACCAGGTACAATATATAAAATAGTCATCATATTTGTAATTAAAATTATCAATATTTTTATCATGATTATGATACAATAGCATAAATGATACAGTATACCATATGTGCAAAGTATGACAATAAACATACAATGAAAAGAAAAAAAAAAGGGAAGGTACGTATGGTAGCATTTCACTTATGAAGGAGATATGGTGTCGTTTATTTTAAAAATAAAAATACAAGGTTTCTTAAATATTTTAAATTTGTTGTCGACAATGTTATGTTAATTTTATTAATATTTTTGGAGTATTTTTCACATACAAAATTACTCTGTAGATTTTGAGAAATTGAATTTTTGGTAATTTATTATTTATTTTTACTCAATTTGACATATCATTTTATATACTATATTTGTTGACTACATATATGACTTGCATCCCAAATTTTCTCAAGTTTAGTAACAAAAAAAATTAATATTCCACATATATATTCATGAAAAAATAAATTAATTAAATATTAATACAAGTATATCCTTCATTGGTAAATAATAAACAATGAAATCTGCATTATTCTTTCTCCTTTTTTTATTTGATTTGATTGCATGGAATTTGATTAATTATTTATTTTAATTTATTTATTTTTATTCAGTTAAAATCAATATATACAAAAGAAATGTGTATGCTAATTACAAAAAGGTAAAAGAAAAATATTTGTTTATTTATTTATTTCTATATCACAATTTTTGCTAGATTCCTCTAAACTAGAACTATTAAATAATTTCATTTATTAAAGTTGTTGTAAAATAAATGTAATTCTTACCAGTGTTGCACAGGCGATGCTGCCAACCTTCACATGCATCACAGCTGATGGCATGCTGTCGCGGACGTACTTCTCTCCCACAGGACAGGCACGGGGGGTTGACCTCTGCCATGGTTGACAGTTGAATGTTGAATTTTCATTTTCCATCTTCTTATAAATCTTTTTTTGAGATCAAAGGGAGATTCTTCAAAGGTAAAACCTTCAGGATCTGCTGCTCAGTTCTATAAGGGATCTATTAACGTCTCAGTCCCTTAATTGTTTTCAAAACATAGCGCAGTCCCTTAATTGTTTTCAAAACATAGCGCAATTCGTAAAAACAACACGGGTGTATCCCCCCAATTAACATTGAGATTAGTCATCTAATTAATATAACACCAAATCATTAATAAATGCATTAGAATCAAATGAAAAATTAATTAAGACTAAATAAACATTGTTCCTGGTTTCAGAAAAAATAATCCAAGTTCGTAAAGGAAAAAAAATTACATGTATGTTAATCTTTATTTCAAATAAGTCAAATTAAGTTAATATATAATATAATATATAAGTATTGGGCGAAACTTTAATAGGGCGAACAAGATTTTGGGCGAAGAAATTCTTGGGCGAACGGACCCTGCGCGAACGGACTCCGGCGAACAAGTAGATCGGGCGAAGGGACCTGTTACCTGTCAAGGTTAGGGCGCACATG